GAGAGGTACCCAGGTACTGTACCTGTGTGTATGCGAACTGTCTATCTTGGAAGCTCTGGAGCTGGAAATGTCGATGGACGGTCAATACCTTTGCATGGATCAGCCCTCGCAAGACGGCGAATGAGTCACCAAAAGAAAGAGGATGGATTACCTTGTGGGCCATCGAAAGTAGCGACACCGAAGCGACAAGGCCGACATATGGCGGGTGATTCGAAGGAGGACCAGTGTCACTCTCAGGGGCCACCTTGAAGAAACGCGGCAAGTCGGCATAAACTTGGTTCAGCTCCCTGTCTGCCCACAGAACTTGATCGTAGATGCGCTGAAGACGGTCTGGGCTGTTCCCGGGGTGTCCGACGCTGCACATGCGATCTTGCTGCCGCCATATGATCACGGCCACTACAACGAACGGCGTTAACTTCTGCTCTTTCGCCATGGGAATCTGGAGAGGGCTGGGGGCTTACCCTTGGACAAAACGTGCGTGTAGCTGTTCTGAGTGTACACATGGTCCGGCTGAGCAACAACAGCACCGTCCTTGATCATCAGCTCCAGCTCATCGTAGCAGTTCAGCGGGAGAGGTGTGTTGAACTGCGATACGTGAAGCAGATGGGTGTTCTGGAAGGGAATCTGCAGCCAATCCTGACGAACGAGAAACCACCAAACGCGCTTCTTGACCTCTCGCTCGACGAGTGTCTGGACGGCCAACTCGCGAGACTGGTGCTCGAAGTAGCTGCCGGGCAGATCAGGCCCGAGACGGTGCATGTTGAGGCATTGGGCGATGCGTATGCCCGTGGCGATGAGGACGCAGATGAAGTCGGACTGGTCGATGTTGTGTGCGACCTGCATGAGGATGCAGATTGCTTGGGTCGAGTAGATGGTGTGTTTGGCCATGAAGTTTGTGCTGAAGAGGCATTGCACGCTCTTGTCGTAGAGGGCACGGGCGGAAGAATCGCACGCTGCTAGCATGAGCGTTCGAACCTGGCGAAAGCATCGTACATACCCGTGAACTTGATGCCTGGGCCTGCGATCTCTGTTCCATGACAGTGGTACAGCGTCGTGGACAAGACTGCGTAGTACAGTGCAAGCCAGGCACCGTCGACTGTTCTCTGGCAAATGTTGGACTCAAACTCTTGTCTAAAGGTCGGCATGTGAAGGACATTGTGCATCCATGCAATCTTCTGTTGATGATGTTGTAGTAAAACGCGCGCTTCTCTGGGAGACAGGATCATGTCCCATGGCGGGCATGTGTCCAGCTCGTCATGGCTATGTAATTCGCCCCTGATAGAACTGGCTGTCTGGTCATTGTGTAGATTCAGGATGTTCTGTCGTCCATAGGCGAGGAACTCCAGTGTTGTGACGGTTTCATTTGTTTCATCTGAGCCGCCATTATCTACAGGACTACTACTCGTTGGAATCGACTTTTCTTGGCTGGAACTGCGTAGAGTTTTTCGCCGGGGCACAGGAGTTGGGTGTCCATGTCGACTCTCTCGTTTCTTGACCACGGCAACGGGCTCTCGATGACATGCTTGTGCGAGGCCGCGATCGAGGCATGACGAACAGGGGATGGTTTTGGAGCATCGGGTTTTGCGCCGAGCACATTCCGTACAAGATAGAACGAACCGTTGAGATCGTCTCACTGCAGGCATTGGCAGAGCTGATGGGAGAATAGAACCTTGTGACAGAGGATGGTTTGAGTGTCCTCGACCTCAAGTTGATCGAGGTGCGCATCTTATCGGACGTGCATCGGCCATCGGCGCTGTCCGAACGAGTTGGCGGCATTCTCAAGTCGACAGTGGATGAAGCTATCTCTCGACTACGATGCACAGAAATCGCGTTTAATTGTCCGTAATTATAGTCGGCAAGCCTCGCATTGTCCGTGGCACCCAAATCTCGGCCGCGGGCATCGGGTGAGATGGTTGCGTCTCGGCCGCGGGAGAGCTGATAAGCTTGTCGACAACAAGCCACCCGCTGCTTAACTCATCAACATACGCATATAAAGACCAACCCTTCTTCTCCTATATCTAAGGTGGCAGTTTCTAAGTCATCTCAAAAACACCCACCTGCATCGTCCATCTCATCTGAACAATGCCTATTCCAAGCATCAGCTTGTCCGGTATGTTCCAACACAATCCTACTACAAACCACCCGGAACTTGATCATAACACCTAAAAAGCTGCTTCCGGGCCAAGCAAAGCAGCAAAGCAGGCTCTCGTGCGACAAATAAAGTCGGCCTGCGAGAGCCACGGCTTCTTCCAGCTCACCGGCCACGGCATCCCCCAGTCTCTCCTCGACCAAGCACTCAAACAAAGCGAGTCTTTCTTCTCACTGCCTCTTGAAGCCAAGGAGAAATATGACAAGAGTACGTTTTATCCGTCCAACTATTGCGTGCCACCCATTAACTCAGCCAGACATCGGCGGCTTCAACCGCGGCTACGAGCATCTCCGAGCCCAAAACTTTGAAAAGAAGACAGACGGCGACCTGAAAGAAGGGTACTACTTCGGACAGCATCTCCCCCTCGATCATCCCAAAGTCGCCGCTAAAAAGTTCAACCTGGGTCCGAACAAGTATCCCAGTGACGTCGACGATGCCGTCGAGTTTCGGCGAGTCATCGACCAGTACTTTGACGCCATGCTTGAGCTCGCCGAGACGCTGCTTCGCCTCATCTGCGAGACTCTCGACATCGACGACGACTGGGTCTCGGACTTTGTCGACACGCCCATTGCCACCCTGCGGCTGCTGCACTACCCTCCTCAGGCCCCTGACGCGTCCGAGTGGGAGCGAGGTATGCAACCACAAGAACATTTGCCTTCGAGAAAGGCCCTCCATGGTCTAGCCCTGACACTCTTCTAGGTATCGGCGCGCACACCGACTTCGGCGCCCTCACAATCCTCCTCCAAGACACAGTCGGCGGGCTGCAAGTCTGGGATCGCGCCGGCTCGCAGTGGACAGACGTGGCGCCCACGCGCGGCGCCCTCGTCGTCAACCTGGGCAACCTCATGATGCGCTGGACCAACGACCGCTACCTGTCCAACCTGCACCGCGTCATCAACAAGTCGGGCCGGGAGCGATACAGCATCCCCTTTTTCTTCTGCGGAAACCCGGACTTCCTCGTCAAGTGCTTTGAGGGGGAAGACGGTCGAGTCAAGTATCCTCCTGTGACTGTTGGGGAGTGGATTGCGGCGAGGTACGCTGATACGTATGGGACGTCTCAGGACAGGGCCGCGGGGGAGTTGTCTACAGCTGAAGCAGCCGCTTCGACTTCTTAGAGATACAGCGTTCAGAGACTCACAGTATATGGCCCTGTCGCGTCAAACCTTCGAATGCAAATTGTTGCATAACACAACACCTTGATACGTGCCTTTCTGTTTAATCATCAAGCTCATACCCCTCCGTTCCCTCATCCGACCGTTGAACTTCAAGACCTCTCAAATCAACACCATCCAGCGCCCGCACATTCACCGGCTGTATGTCCATATTCTTCCGATACACCGCCATGACCTGCTCGCGTCTTTCCGGCGGCACCTTGTCAAACACGGACAACGGAGGGCCGTAGACGTTGCTAAAGACGTGCACACCGCACGTCGAGCAAAAGGTGCTTCCGCTAAACTTGCGTCCGTAAAGGTATTCAAACGTGTGCTCCCTTCTGTGGATCCTGACTTGGTCTTTGGTTGGATAAACCCCGACGTATCCAATCTGTGGAGAGTTAACCTAGAACACGCAGAGACTGTTGGGAACATGGGGGTGGGCGTACTCTCACGCACGAGCTGCAGTTATCTTCCTTGATCTCTTGATCCTTGATAGATACTAGTAGCTCTATCTGGACTCTCTGGCAATGACATGAGCCAACATGCATTGCAGGCGACGCGGAGAGCCCCCCCTGGATAGGTTGAGTCACTCGCTGATCCTCTGTTTCGACTGTCTTGATATATGACCTGGACGACAGTCAGCCACTCAAATCACAGTCGAAAATTGAAAGCCCGAGTTCGAGGCTTACTCCAACTGAAATGGGTTTATCTCTCGAAGCGCTCGCACATTGATGCCAAACTGGCCACGCAGTGGACCAACGACATGATCAGCAACCACGCCAGTACCGCAATGATTACAAAACTACGATTCATATCAGTATTTCGCACCAATACATGGAGAATAACCGTACTGTACCTTGTCTTTCATTGTTCCAGATTCGTATTCGGTCATACACCCATCATCCCTCACCACTGTGAACGCCCCCGGCGGCACAATGAGCCACAAGTAGCCCTTCTTTGCGCAAAGACTACAAGTGCACGCAGTCACATCTTTAACATTAGGGACCGAGACTTCGAAGCGGTAACGACCGCAATGGCAGTTGCCATGATATATCTGCGCGGCCATATCTCTGGCGCGGGGGGGTGGTGATGGTGTTGTAAGCGGACGGAGATAACGACTTGTCGAGTAACCCAACAAGGAAGGTATTTATGTATACGAGGAGATGGAGAGGGAGATACATTTCGGAATAATATGCGGATTCATTTATTCCGGCATTCTCACCTTCTTTACACGAGTATCCTAGAGTCATGGTTCTCATACTCGCTTGGTACGAAGACGTTGCTTCTAATAGTCACTATGGAAAATAAATTGTCTGTTTCCTGGGGACAAATGGTTACAGGCGCAGGGAAAGAAGCATGGAAAGCAAAAACGGTCTAAAATAGTGGAAGACGATTGGATATTACCTGCCAAGGTAGATATCTCATGCAGTCAATCGTCCGTATTGGTTGACCTTTCATATACATGCGACGAGGTGTAAATAGAAGCGGGACGGAATTCCCTCCTCCATTGGTGGTGGTTTTGAGTGCAGCACAATGCGACAGAGCAGTTAAAAGTTGCTAGCTCGCGCCCGGCCTCACGAAAAATTCAAGAAGAATGTACAGTTCCCAAGACAATTGGATTCACTCACGCAGTAGTATTATTAACACTGAGTATGATGAGACAGAAGCGAGGCAAAAAAAGGGCAAAAAAAGTATGGTGCCCCCGGCCAGGATCGAACTGGCGATCTTGGCATATCTCCAGTCATTCTGAAAATATAAGAGCCACGCGCTAACCACTACACCACGGGGGCTGAATATCAGCTTCCCCACAAGGGCTTGTTTCGGCAAACTCCCGAGATTCACTACTTATACACCCTTACCCAGTTCCTTTCCACCAGAATGAGAACTTGTGCAGTTCAATTTGATGCAAAGTCCGTCTGTCTACCTGCTTGCTTGTATGTCCCCCGTAAGGCACTTGGAGGTTCGAGGGTCGTTCAACCACGCAAACCGAACCTATAACGTTAAATTCAGGTGTCACATCGACTCCCGCTCTCCAACCCGCCACTGGTCTTATTCATCAATGATTGTCCTCATTACCGTATAACTTCGCTATATAACGCCTGCTAATCCAACCCAAGATGATTTCATTCATGATCCATTCCAGTTGCAGTCCCTCGCGCCATGGGTATCACCCCGCCGCCTATACAGATCTTTCCATCTCTTCCTCACCCCATCCGTTATGCTCGTCTGTACAGAAGATTCTCTGTCCAAAGCTTGCTCATTCGTCAAATTATTCAACACATGTGACGCCGTGAAATGTAGTCTGTACAATTATTTGCCCTTGCCGCTCTCTTCGGAGTCGTCTCCTTTGCCCTTTAGCAAGCCGACTCGTCTGTCATGCTCGCTCCGTAACTGCTTCTCCCCCGTTGGAACCAACGTCTTGTCCTCAAGGCCCTCGGCTAGCGAGAGGTCACCAACCCGGAACTTCTCCCGCAGCCCTTCGACACCAATGGGAGGTCCGGTGATGGGTGATTCAACTGCTTCGATTGCCTCGTCAGGCCATAGAATTCTGCGAGCTTCCTCCTCCGTCAGAGGGGGCTCGTCGATTTCCTCTGTCTTGGCAATGATGGTGTGTTTTGTCGGCGAAACCGCTGTTGTCGGTGAACCCTGGTCTGCGGCTGTTTGACGCGGTGTAGTCGGTGAGCCCACGCTGGTGGACCGTGCCGTCGACGTCTCTGAGGATCGTCGCCGGATTTCGGTGCGTATTGGCGCAACATTTGACGATCGGCGACGATCCGGGCCGCGTAAAAGCGAGTCCCGACCCGAGCGATCCACGGACGGCGTCATGGCTGAATAAAGGCTAACGTCATCATCCAAGTCCGAGTAGTCAACATCGGCATCGTCATCATCATCGTCGCTGTGAAGAGTCACACCGTCTGCCACATCGCCAGGGGTTGTCTTCATCACATCAGATTCCTCCTTCAGTACTTTCTCTTCAGCATTCGTGACACTCAACGGCAGCGGTTGCCGCGACGCCCCAGCTTGCCCTCGATTTCTGCGGAGAATATTGCGCATCAAGAACAGTTCGTGCTTCTTGTACGTTTCGTACCACGCTCTGCTGGTCATAGCTGCAGCATGCAAGTTATCAAGCTCGTTAATTTCGCACATGATTCGCAGCCGAATGCTCTCAGGAAACTCTGTTGCCACCGTGTAAGTCTTGTCAGCAGCAGCCATGCGCCCGAGACCCTTGTTGAGCTGAGTCTGTGGCTCGCCTTCTCGGTGCTTTGACAATGCCCAGCCGTGGCTCTTGCCGCTTATGTCAAAGAGTGTCAGTCCCAACACGCTATTGTAAATATCGTTGATAGCAGACCGGAATGTCGGGCTGGGATCGCAGACACCCCGGTGAACAGGAGTTGGTGCGGTAGGTATCCTCCTGAGAGTATCCACGATTTGGGCCAAGCTTCGCTTTGGGGCTTGTGTTTCTGGCATGTGACATAGGACATTAGGTCGCATGAGATGGGGTAATAGGTTCATCTCATTGTATACCAGCATCAACCATCCAAGATTTGTCGCGTCACACCAGTGGCTGCCCTTTGGGCACCTTGGTATGCTGGTGAGGGGTGTAACAGTCGCGTTAGCAGCGCTCCGAGGATCAGACACGGGTAAAGCCTCAAGTTCCTCGGTCGGAGTACCACTCGGAGGACGGAGGTATTCCTGGGCGGTGCTGACGCAGCACGCATGTACCTGAGCAACCTTTGCACATCTGACGGCCCATACCTTGTCCTTGATCTTCTGCGGCCAAGGCTTGGTCTGAAGCTCCTTCTCATCGACGAGATTGAGAATAGCAGTCTTGGACATCCGAGAAAAGAGCTGCCTGAGACCAAAAGCATAACTAATGACCAAGAGGCCGTCAGGCATATCATCCGCACCCTTGTGCATCCATTGCGGTAACCACCGATGCTCAACGATCAGTTCCAGCGGCGATGTACTCTTGTACCTCATACAGCATTCGGCAATCGCTACAAACTGCTCAAAAGTGACTTCGCGAGGAACCCTTTCATTGTGCATGTGGGCAGCGTGGAGCAGAATCTCCAGAGCGCTCTGTCGATTCAACTCTCGCTGAGGCATACGATAGAGTCTCGCCTCCGTACCATCCTTGCAGATATATTTCGTAGGGGGAGCTGGCAGTTGGGCCAAAATATCCTCGTCGTCATAAAGTCGGAGACTGCTGGAACGGCCTGAAAACATGCGGGCAAAGATTGGAGATGTCTCGCTCAGCATGTGAGATGAAACCCGGAATCGAAGTGCAGGATCGTTGGGTGATGACTCGGGAGAAATGTTGGCGAATTCGAGAATGGCGTCGCCACGAGGAGCAATAGGAAATTCCTCAAGGGTGCGATCAGGAGAGATGCCCGACTCACCAGCTTGCAGTAGCTGTCGAATCTCCAGCAACTCCTGCTTCACCCTTTCGAAATTGCGAAAGCGTATCTCGTATCTGGGAAACTACAAAGTCCAAGTCAGTAACACAAATTTCACATGTCATGGCAGGACGTACAAATTGAGGGTCTGCCGACATAACCCGAGTCACGCTTGCATTGCGCATTCGAGAGACAGCTTCCTTGCGGAAGCGTTTGCTTGCAAAAAGGGCATCAATCATCTCCTGGGTGGCATCACGCTCATAGCTCCGATACGTATCGGCGAGACTAATCATGAAAGCCTCAGTCAAGGCTTCGAGGTACGTCTTCCAATCACGAATGGCATTGAGCCAGGCGTCATTATTCAGGGGTTCTTTCGTGGCGCTTCCGGACACAACTTCAGCAAGACTTCTTCCACTAAACGAACTCCTGGTGTCAAAAATGGCTCCAGGGCTGCGAGGGGCCTCGATCGATGAGTCTCGGCGCCGGAGGGCCTCGGAACTGGCCGTTGGATCCCGATTTTTGCGAAGAGCATCTTGAAGAATAAGGCGGCATAGACTAGAACACTGGTCCTTGACTTTGACGAGCTCTTTGTATGCAGCGTCGACGTGGTGAGGACTGGCAGGGCCGGTGCGCATGCGCTGAACGATGGCCTGGAGCTGCCGAATGCTGGATTCGGAATTCTCGAGGGATACATTTGCGTGGGAGTCGGGCGACTTGGGGTGGAGGGATTCGTTCTCCGTTTCCGAAGGAGTAGGGTGGAGTTTGCTCTATCATCAGTCAGTTAACCGTTCGACAGGACATGCGAGCCATGGCGTTCACATACAGACCACTTATCGTCCTTGGCAACGGAGATGCTTCCAATCTTGCGCAGTGCAGAGCCGAAGCGCCATCTTGGAGTCGACGCACCGGCAGTCTCGGAAGTGCTCTTCTGAACCATGTCGGACCTTAGGGAAGTGTTGTGGTGGGGATTGTCGCGGTACTCGAGGTGGGTAGAATCGGTGACTTTACGAGACGGCATCAGGCCGTGATGAACACAGCTTCAGCGTCAAGACTAGGCTCCTTCATGATAGCCACGGCGGGAATGCGAGGCCCCTCGATAGAACGAGGGCAGCCGTGCGAGCAAGCTAAGCAGTCGTATTTGCGGTTGCGCGAATCGTGGTGGGCGTAGTTGGGGTGGCGGGCGGCAGCGCGGCGGGACGGAGGAAGGGGAGGATGACGTCTTGGCGTGCGCAGCTCAGACAAGTCACAATGGAAGAGTCCGTGGGGTACGGATTTCTACTGGCGAGAAGCGAGGTCGAAGTCGTCGAGATCAGAGGGAATCGACAGGAGAGGTCGAAGGGGGGAGAACTTGTGAGAGTGACAGGTGGTGTGGCAGGAAAGTCCTAGTCCAGATCAGTGGATGGACAGGTCGGGCTTCGGCTATTGTCGTCGAGGTGTAGGAATACAGTGCCGCAGTGCCAGCCAGCGCCTGGGGTGCCTTTGCGTCGAGCGTCTAGAACCTGCAGCGGGCGGAGTGGGCTCGAGTTTTGGGTCCGGGGGTGGACGGGGGACGTGGGACGGCCCTAAAACCGGGGCGTAGGACTGGAGTCTGCGTCTTGGCCGTTCCAGTGCTCCCAGGACTGAGCTGTAGGAAAGGAATTGCTGCCAAACAAATGGATAGGAGTGCCGTTGTTGCACAGGGATCAAAGAGGATGACTCGTAAGCAGCGTGCGTATAGAGGTGTGTAGAGAGAGCGAAAGGGTGGGAGGAGGAATGAGCGAGCTGGAGGCCGGGGAGAGTTGCAATGTCCCAAACACAGTGGACAATTGGAGATCTTGAGTTGTTCGTACTGTATATCTCAGTTGAAACTGTGGTGGCTGTGCACAGTGTGCCTCACGACGCCGCTGGACAGCAGGCGACTAGGTCCAGTCCTCTAATTCGATTAATTGCCCGCTAGTTTCCGGCCAGCAGCGGAGAAGTTGGAGGAATTGAAAGTAGTAACTTCCTCGTCGTCGAGATAATCGGTGGACAGTCTGCTTGTCACAAGACCATCTTGTTCGTTCGAAGAGAGTATTTGTACCTGATCAAGTTATCTAATAATACCCAATACTGAGCCGCGTAATTAGGCCAGATATCCTCAGGACGCAGCCCTATCGTATGTCGCTCCGAACTCTTCAGGTTTCTTTCCTGACTCGCTGAACAAAGCCAGCGCTAGGATGCCTCGTGTCAGAGGCTCCATCACAGCAAGGGGTTTCAGCCTCTCAAAACATCGAGATACCTGCAACACAAAAATAGAAACAGCCTTAAACGCAACCTACGCATCGTATCCCAGGCAGCCTCAATTCTCCATCGCACAGAATGCCCTCCCGAGTCTGACTTGTTTTATCATGAATACGGGAAGCAGAACCTCATAT